GATAGTTCTTGATTACTTTTTGATAAATAATTCGTTCTTATTGCGAAATAGAAGCACTATTTATCAATCTGTAATAAAAGACGTGAGGAAATTCCAAGGACAAACATTTTTGAGGCGAAATACCCAAAAAGAAGTTTGTAAAAAAATGAATCCGCCTCAGCAAAATAGAACTTATCTACATCTTATATATAAGTGAACGTTAAATGAGAAAAGAAAGATGCGAAAGTTGAACATCTTACTTTGTCACTATTACTGCCTGCAACACATCGCCTGCCTGCTGAAGACAATCCTCCATCATCAAAATCCTTTTCATCTCGGTGTCCTCTTCTACGTAGTTTCACCACCAGTATAACTATAATTCCTACCATTCCGAGTGCGGCCAGCACCCCGATAAGTCCTCCTAGTAACGGTGTGATATGAAGCAGTACAGGAGTTGAGCCTGAAATAGGAGAACATTGGACACTTTTACAGGATCTTTGCTCGATCTGAAGCATGAGTAAGCAGCAAAGCTTGTAAGTAGGATACCAATAGATGCCCAGTTAGTATCGACCAACCCATAACTACATTTGATACCAAAAGATTGAAAGCTGCTGAGAGCAACCATTACCACCACCATGACCACTACCATTCTTACCAGAATTTTTCGCAATTTTATAAGCTGGAGCGTACATGATGAACGCATCACTAGTCAGAGAACTTTGACCAATTGTGCGAACAAATATCAGAAGATCGTGAGGATCGATTGGCAAATCGGAAAACGTGATATCTTCGGGATTTTGCGACGTGGCGGTACCGATGAGGATTCTGGAATTGGCTTCGTAAACTTGCATCAAATAGGTGTTTCCTGAATGGAAAAGGGCCCGTTTTGCCACCTGGCATCTGAGACGAATCAGATACGAGAGCTGTCTGACTATGGTGCAGTTTTCTGGAGCTGCCGGTTTGATCATCGCATAATTTTTCGCTGTGCAAAATAAAATAAATCGTTGATGTTAGAAGGATCCGGAAATGAAAAGCTCATGGACAAATTTGCTTTAGTGAAACTGGTGAGTTTTTTCCACCTCTGAAGATGCAAGCGACTCGTCCGAAACGTCAGGAATATATTTTTTCCACGAGGGTCTAAAACCATGAAAAAATTTCACCATTTTCGAGCCACGGCCACGAAAGCTTAACTCTTTTTATTTTTAAAGCAGTGTTGAAAATTTCTTTCATTTAGAATGGTGAACAATAATTGAAAAATACACAAAATGAAGTTTGTCGGTAAAAGGAATTGTAAAATACCGGTCTCATAAGGCCATTGGCGCACTTCCTCATAAAACGTAGTAATTTATGGAGGTTGCGGTCTCATACACCTGGTATTTGAGCATTTGCTCTATTTCAGGTAGTTTATTTCGCTTGAAAATGGGGAAAAGTGTTCTGACGCGAAATTTTCCAAGTAATTAAATTAATGAACTCGTTTATTTCTGGGGCCTATCATTTTAAGGACAAAGTACTTTAGCTGGACAAAACACTTAGTGAATCAGCTTGCAGCATAAGCGGATTCTTTGATCTCACTTCCTTTAATTCTCTAATGTAATTGGCCAGCTAGATTCCCCGATTTAAACCCCCCTAATTTATGTTTCTGTCTATTTGATATGAATCCTCAAACTATCAACCACTAGCTTAAGTAATATTGACAAAAACTGAATGGAAAAAACGTCCTCCTGTATAGTTGCGACCCTGCCACCAGTATCGTCTACAAAACTGACAATTTTGGCAAACTATTATAAAAAATTCACAATTTGAGTTAAGCAAACACCATGTTTGCTACCAGTTCAAAAGGGTCATTGAGCGAAAAAAAGAAGTCGAGTCTTCAATCGAAAAATCATGAAGACTCTCAGCCGGCAATCGATGAGCAAACTCAGACCAACTTAGGTATCAATGTGAGACCCAAAGTGCAGGATGATTTTCGCAATTTACTGCTGGAGTTCGTTATCAACTGTCTGCTGGACCAGCCGAAAGATGTTGTCAACTATGCAGCTGATTATTTCGTTGAACTACAGGAGCGTCAGCACACAATTATTCTTAGAGACTATGAAGAATCGGGCGAGTCGAGTAAAGGTGCAAGTGAAGCTTCTTCAACTGGTGCTGTAAGTAAACGAAGCGCGGATGCTAAAAGCGCTTCATCAACTGAAAGAGAACTTTCCACTGTTCCACTGGAAGTTGATAAGTTGACTGATCGAGCCACTTCCATTCAGCAATATGGGTAAATTCAAGTGCAAATACGAGTGTATTGAACAGGAGAATTAAATTACCAGTATGTTTCTCTGCTCCTTTCAATGTAAAAGCCGATAAATGCACCACCGAACTGTTGCCTTTCTTGTTCGCTGCATAGAGTGCTATGTCGAATCCTGCCCCACTTTCCAGTCCAGTTACTATAAAAACTGGTATTCTGCAAGTCATATTGCTGACCAATTTCCCATCTCTGCTTTCATACACTTCCATGACGAACATCTGCGGCAATCCGCCATCAAATCCTTCCGAACACTCAATGTAGATTGCGTCTGAAGTCTGATTGGTGATTGAGCAATTTGAAAGGGCGTCTGGCTTTCCTGCAGATTAAAAAAACCACTCTGTACATGGGAATTGAATTAAGCTCTAATATTGGAAGATCCAGAAGCAAAGAGGAAAACCTGTGCCACTTTCAAAATCCCTTTGAGGGACTATTTGATTTTAATGTTGTTTTTGCCGAAAAAGAACTTTAATCAGTCTTAATAAATAATACAGCGCTTTGATAAGATTTCGACTGTGGAAAAGTAGGAACGACTTTTGCTTTTACAGGAACATGAAAATCACCCCTGAAACCTCTCAAAGGCGGAAAAATGAATAAAATAATTCATAAACTCGATGAATCGATATGCTTGTTGCCTTTTCAACCTCTGCATTGACCATCTGTGATCGAGTAATCATATGATTTATACAGGGTCTTTGATAAATATGCGCGAGGGTTTAGAATGTGATTTTAAAGAGTTTGGTTATTTATTTGTTTTAATTTGAGGTTTAATTGATACAATTGTCTAATTTGGGACTCAACCAATAATCAAAATTTAATAATTTTTGAATGTAGGAATTTGAAAATTATTTTCCGTCCATTTTGAGGTTTGATTAATTGGGAAAATATCTCACTAAATTGAGTTTTACAACACTATCTTTTAAATGATAATAATTGTAGACTATTATGAAACATCCTGTATATATAAGTTGATACTTCAATTTCTCTTTCAAACAAGCCTAATATTATCAAACAAATGACACTTTTGCTGGTCATCGCTTGAAGCTTGTTAGTTTTTCGGGCTTTTTCAACCGTCGTGGAAAATAATTCGTGTCCAACAGCCATTATTTTTCACGACGGTCTAAAAGCCTCAAAAACTCACCAGTTTTAAGCGTAAGATTTGTAAAATGGTACCAGTTGATTGGAAGATGCAGCAATTTAAATGCTCAACAAAAAATAGTTTTTATAATTTCCTGTAGGACTTGAAATTTTATTCTTGAATCATCTCATTGAAATGCCCTGTATTATTACTTTCCTGCCCAATTTCATGTATACATACACTCTTTTCTTTTCTCAAATACTACTAAATATCGAATTATTTCAAAGGTCGTTCAAATTAAAAAACGGTCTAGAAAAATAAACACGAAAAGCTCATAGAAGTCAACATTATCAGAATCTTCCATATTAATAAGAACCAAGGTAGTCGATTTCTTTAGAAGATGAATGTTCAGTCGCTTATTATAATGTGTAATTTTAAAACATTTTGTACCGTGCATAGTTGCAAGTACAATTCAGTTCTTTCACTTCAAAGAAACACGTGTTTAAACAGAAAAAATATATGCTTGAAGAAGCTTTTGCAATTGAAATTCAATTTATAGAGTAAACCGTTGGCTTGTTGATCTAAAACTGATTTTAGGTACATTCATATTACGTAGTAGACTTTATGTGCTTTGATTTTGAATTTTAATTTAAAGTATAATTAAGCACTTTAACTTCGAATTTAAATTTGTCTCTAAGTTGGATTCATTCTCAAGTGTCGAACAGAAAAACATCGAGCCAAAGGTGGGTGTTTCGTGAAAAAGCATCAAATTATAAAGTAATTAAAAAGAGAAAAAGGAATTTTGTTTAAATTTAAGTCGAAATTCGACAGTCAACCGTGACTAAATTTGAAATAAAGAAATTGCGACCTTAAGATTTTCTTTAAGGTAAAACGTTAATAAGTAATTTAATAGCATTACAGTTACAAAATTTTGGAACTTGGACGCTTTGCTAACTTTGCCCTTATTTCTTCAAGGGGCCTTTGACTTTTCAAGCTTCGATAATCAATTTCCCAAACCATTAGAGTTTTCGGATATTTTGATTTTCCATTAGGGCAATTCCAGCTTAATGTTTAATTTCATTAAATTCAAATACTTTGTTGATAATTTCGTTTGTAAATAGTTAATTAATATGCATTCATGTATGTTTCAATTAATTTTGTTTGATTTCCTTTGGTTAAGTTTCCAAATAACATGCAGATAATTACGCCCGTGTACCCAATAAATGTATCTGGTATTTTCAACTGCAATATCCAGTTGTAACATGTAGGGGTTGCTTTATTAAAAATTTTGTGGCGATATTTTTTTGTATCAATTAGAGTTTTTGAATAAATCGCAAGTTTTCATGTCGCTTACCAGCTGGTGTAATGTAGTATACGCAGGGCTCCTTTTGCATACCAATTTCGTTTCTTCCCCAGCACAGTAAAGTGCCGTAATCCTGTTCCGTTATGGGCTTAAATTTCGCCGTACTTCGGTCCTTCACCGAGTAAATCTGTTGAGTAAATATCATTTATGTGCAGCAATATAAACCGAGCTTTTTCATATATCTTTTTTTGGGGGGTGAAAGAATCCTTGCCCAATCCCTTACTTACTTGAGTTTGCGCTATTTCGAAAGTATCCGCGGAATTATTGAACTTCCAAGTAAAGTCCACATCATTGGGATTGGCTTCGACTTCGCAAGTTATCTGCGCAACTTCTTCTCGGGCCACTCCAAAAATCCTCACCTGCTCCGGCCGGCACACTGGGGCGTCTGCAAGAAAGCCCCCAGATAATTAGCATTGTGGCAAAGGTCTTATTATTATATATTAAACAAGGAAAAAAACTGAAAAATTGTTATTTTTTCTGTGTTATCCATTATCAGATGAAATCCCCAGTCGATGTGTAAGCGTGTCAAGAAAGACGACTCTACCGGTGCCATGGGAATCCGCAGTTCCCTGCCATGATGTCGTGTCGTCTGGCGAGGCTCCTAATTTATTTTTCCCTGATATGCATTATTTATGACTTTTTTGATATTCAAATTGGAGCTGAAATTGTGTCGGTAAAGACGGCTCCGTGATATATAAAGCTCAAATTTTCGGATATGTTTCGTGGTACAACGTTCATTTTTCTTCCACATGAATATAAATAGTCGGCATTTGCAGATACAAATAGCCCGATTTATCTTTACGACAACTCATACTGTAGAAATATACAGAGTGATTGGTTTGGAATAAGGATTCAGTTCCGAATGATGTGATGATCAAGATTAATATTTAATGGGAAAGTTTTCAAGTTTTCCGGACGCAGAGTGTTGAAAGTGGTATTTTTAAGCAAAATTAACTCGATTATGGCTTCAGTATTCAGCACCTGCCCATTACCTGTATTCCGCCCTTCAATTGGACTTGTCTTTTACAAGAACTTGCTACTAAACGCTATAAAATGTTCACCTACAAATTTAATGCAATACTCCGAAATAACTAATTTTCAAACAGCTGGAAATTAGGGTAGAACAGGGGAAAAACCGGAAGAACCGTCATCGTACAGACCTATGTATATGTCTTTTACCACTATCAAATATATTCGAAAAAATCATATGAAAAGATTAAAAGGAATTATAAGCAATATAAAGCATTCGGGAGTAAGATCTACTGGTCTGTTGCATTCTTGGACATATCAAAAGCTTTTGATAAAGTGTAGAATACTGGACTCCATGGAAAATCAATCTACCGCATCCACATTGCATTTTACTTAAATCCTATGATATAACAGACAATTGATCAACTCATCGATAAAAAGTTCTTTAAAAAAATTATCTTTTTTGAAATATCGGGAGAATGGTACGATGTATTTTGGTGAAACTCGCTGTAAATTTGTTCTTATGTAACACTCATATTTTGATAAAACGCTCGATTTCAGGCGTTTTGGACAAGTGGTGAATTCTTGAGTGTCGTGGTACAAAAACTACTAAAACTTTTTATTTGGTGGATGGAAACAACTCATTTTTTTTTGGTTGATGCGCTAATTTATTAACAATTTTGTGCTCTTTGTTAAATTTTGTAGCATTCATAGTTTTTGCGCAAAAAATATGTCTGTTTTTTTGCCACTTAGCAATGTTAAACATTAACTGCAAATATGCGTCGCGTAAACGCGTACGCTTTCACGCAAGTTTCCTTGGCAAAACCCTAATACTTTGATCATGTCGGTCACTTCTTCATTCGAAACGAATTTGTGAGATTGATTGACAATTAATGTATGCCTCGTATCACGATCTTTGCAGTTAATGTTTAACATTGTTAAGTGGCAAGAAAACACAAATATTTTTTGTCGCAAAAACTATGAATGCTACAAGATTTTACAGAGCACAAAATTGTGAATAAATTAGCGCATCAACCAAAAAAAATGAGTTGATTCCATCCACCAAATAAAAAGTTTTGGTAGTTTTTGTACCACGACACTCAAGAATGCACCACTTGTCCAAAACGCCTGAAATCGAGCGTTTCATCAAAATATGAGTGTTACATAAGAACAAATTTACAGCTAGTTTCACCAAAATACATCGTACCATTCTCCCGATATTTCAAAAACGACAAGGTTTTCATATAGTAACACAGTTAAATATAAATTAACATTGACGTATAAATTAGAGGCCATTGGGGATAGAGCTTATTGATCAGTGGTAATAATTTCTATAAAACCCCCGAAAAATGCGACAGTTTTTAAAACCAAATCTTGTATAGTTTGAAGGCATTGTACGGCCAAACTTTAAGAGATTTTTGGTGGTATCCAGACAGATAAATCACTCAGCATATGAACTGATCTCAACGAGGAAACGTTTACAGTTTGTTGCTAACTGGGCGTTATTTGCATAGAACAGAGTGAACAATTAGTGATGCAGCAACCGTTTTGTAGCGATCAAAGCAAATGGGGGGAAATAGAGTAATAGTAGACCCCTGACAGTGTTTACAATACCTGTTCCCTCGTCGCCAATCAATCATATCCAGCATTCGGCAAGTTGCGTAACCGATATAGGGGAATTCCCTTCTGGATATGGAGAAATTAAGTTATAAATCGGGACGATTCCAAAATAAACTTCCCCGGGCCAATATCGGCACTCGAAGGGATTATAAAAACCCGGGGTGGGTGCCGAATAGCACGATTCCACTTGCCGAGAAATGCCTTGCTCATTTGAATTTCAAACTCGAAGTTCGATGCTTTCAGCAGAGTTTCGGGATTCGGGAAATCGGCATTAAAAATTGAGTTTCTTCTTTTGCTGCAAGTCATATTTTTCAAATACTTACAGGCTGCAATTTATTTTCAATCAAAACTACCAGAATGCATTTGAATATTTTAATACTGAGCGAATTTCTTTATAAACACTTGACCATCATGTACACAGAGTGCAAGATGTCTTACTGATATGAAACTTACAGTTGCGATAAAAGCCATGTAATTTAAACAGGAAAGGGTATTTATGTGCCAAACTTTTTTGGCACATTCCCTATACAAGCTTGTAATTTTTCTAGTCCTTGAACAGATTCTGTCGAATGAGCAAAATTGGACAGTTTTTGAAGATATATCCAATAAAAATTATCATGGTTTCAATACTTATGACACTCATATACGAGTACCTATATTAGTATATAAAGTTTTTATTTATAAAATTATCAAATTTGAAATAACACCGCTCAGTACCCTTAAGAATTGCGAACATTTTATAAAAACATTTTTTTACAGGACGCACTGTTTTCGAGAAAATGTTGTTAAGACTTACATTTTAGTCAAAAAGACATTACAAGAGTTTTTACGTGCCCTGATCTCCACAGTCGAATAGCGTGTTTAACATTTTTGGATCTTTGCTCAGTCAGACGTTTCAAAATGTTTCATTTATTGAAAACTCGTTCTTGGCATTTACTCAAAAATAATTAAAAATGCATAATTGAAAAAAACACTATTAAACACCTTGGAACATTGCAAACATTTCCTTAAGAGCAAAATGTTTTGATCAGTTGCACTGTTTTAGAGAAAGAAACTTGTAAAATAAGAACGCTGTCCTGAGAATGGCCCATACTAGAGAAAAAGTAATTTCATACTATAGTTTTATTGCTCATTGCCAAATGGCGTGCAGAAAATGTCTTCTGTTTTGTCAAGATAGGCGCTATAAGTTTTATGATTCAAAAACAGGTTTTTGACATTTACTCAAAAATTATTTCAAAATGCATAATTATCAAAATTGAACCAGATTCGTTTCAAAATTGTGAAAACATTTTACAGAGAACAACTTTTTTTGATAGGACGTACTGTTTTAGAGGTAATAAAAATATTATTACGGACGCTATTATTATGGACGCTACCCTGAGACAGAATCTCTAGAGAAAAAGTCGTTACTTGAGTTTTTAAGCTCATTGACTTCCTTTATCCAATGGCGTCATCAAATTTCGCCTGCTTTGCTAAGTTAGATCCTATAAGAGGTTTCGTGATTCAAAAACAGATTTTTAGCACTTGCTGTAAAATAATCAAAAACGCACAATTAAAAAATAGCGCAAAATTTGTTTAAAATTGTGAACATTTTATAGAGAACACAATAAGGTTTGTAAAATATGAATGCTACCCTGAAAACGACTCACTCTAGAGAAAAAGTCATTACTTGAATTTTTATTCTCATTGACCTGCTTTATTCAATTGCGTCCTCAACATTTTCCCCGTTTTGCTAAGTTAGACACTATAAGAGGTTTTGTGATCCGAAAACACGTTTATGGCATTTACTCCAAAATATTTAAAAATGCACAATTGAAAAAATACCGCGAAATTTGTTTGAAAATTGTAAACATTTTAAAGAGGCCAATATTTTATGCTCATTGACCCCCAATATCCAAAACATGCTCGAAAATTGCGCACCTTATCTAGATTGGGCGATATAAGACGTTTTATGTACCGAAATCACGTTTTTGGCATTTATGGAAAAATGAAAAACTGCCAAATTCAAATACTCTACTAAATACTTGAAAAGTGCGAATATTATATGAAGAATATCAATTTGGACCGGACACACTGATTCAGAGCAAAAAATAAAAGTTTGTTAAATATTACCGCCGGCCTGAGAATCACCCACCCTAGATAAAATCCATTACTACAGTTTTCATGTGCATTTACGCTCTATATTCAGTGGCGTGCTCGCAATTGCCCCATCTTGTCCAGGTTTGAAAACATAAAAAAAATTCTGTGTGGAAAAATATTTTCTAGTTCTATGCGAGAAAGAAAGAAAACTAGTTGAGTTTGCCCCTGGCTGACTCAAAAAGAGAACATTTAAAAAAAATTTCAACTTTCCTAAAGCATTTGAGAAATTTTGTTTCATTTCAAGGAATAAAAATTCTTACCCCCACAAATTTCAAAAAAGTTTCTATTTAACTGACTCATTGATTTGTTCATTATCTTTAGCAATTAGGCGTCAGTTGAAGAATGGACATCCTGTATAATTGAAGCTTTAAACCCAGGCCGAGTTGCCCAGTTTAAATGCATCTTCTTTAGGATGTTGTCTGTTGGTTTAATGGAAAGGAAAACGCGCTAAGAGAAAAACACAGGAGGGACATAAAAAAGCGCAATTTGGAAAATCCCAATGTGCTACTTATTACAACATTCGCGACCATAAAACTTTGTAGTTTTCTTATGAATTGTTAAAATTCCCTTCACCCAATATAACACGTTTATGTGCGACTAAGGGATTTTATCACGTAAAACTGATAAAATATGAACTTATATATGTATATGAACTATTATACAGAATAAAATTGGTTTACAGGAGAAAATATGTTTGAATATTAGAAAAATTGTGGGGCATTTATCTCCCTTATGGGTGAAAAACGAGGGCCACTTAAGTTCGGAAATTGAGGGAAACCGGTCCCATATTAATATGTCGGTGAACTTTGGAAGCGCAAATTTGGTTTTAAGGGTGGCGGGATATTTACGCCACGACATTTAGATTGAAAAAGTTTCCGTTATTTTTACTAGAACCTTAATTGAAACTTTGGAACGTTGTTCTGAAAAAAAGTCTCGTCCTGTTTTCGAAAGGCAAGTTCAGAATCTCAAACGAAATATTTCACCGACATCCCAAAGAATACGAATTTTTGATCTATTAGTTTCATCCTCTCTGTTTGGCGAATGCCCGTTTTTGCCCCGATTTCGGATAGAGACGGAATCATTAATCACTGATATGTAGATGTGCTATTCTTCATTCATTCCTTGTTCGTGATTGCGATCTGACATGATGAGCGCAGCTGGTAAAAAATATTGTCATATTTTATTGCCTAACGCGCAATCAATTATGTTAAGAACTTTGAATGTAGCGTCGTGAAAAATGAGCTCTTTTGTCGATTTTTTTCTTATATTTGCCGCGTATTTTTCTGCCAGTTGGGAAAGTTTCCGATAATGGTGGCAGTGGAGAAAAGGAATTGAAGTTTGCCAATTATCGATTAGGAGTAGGCTGATATTTTTTAATATTTTACTCATTTGCCCAAGTGTTATTTACTTACATTTTACGTCCAGCTGAACGGAATTACTCTCCCCATCCCCTTCTTGGTTATGCCCCACGCAGGTATAATGGCCGGTTCTTGCTGTGGTAATTGATTGGAGCACAAGGCTTTGGTTGCTTACGATCGTTCCTCCTGCTACGTTATTGAAGAGCTGTTTTCCCTGGAAAATAAGCATTGTGTTAGATAAATTAGGGCAAACAAATCATTCACTAAGGCTGCTGCGGAAGCAAGTATATAAAAGCTTCAAGAATCTGAAGAATTGGCTATTAAAGCTTGGAATAGCACATTGATACGGACAGTTAGACCATTTGTATTATTTATTATATAAGTGAAGCGCATAGAATTGATATTATCAAAGCCAATTATATTGAAAGTGGCCTTAACATATATTTTTGCCTTTTGAAAATGTCGTTTTGCTAGTAATTTGTCTGGTTTACATCCCATTTACGTTCGAAGCATAAAGTTTCCCTTTACTAACAGTCTTCTTAATTGTTTTTCCTCAGAAAAAGACGATTTTTTCACTGCATTTTACTAGTTAAAATTGTACCGTGTTCACAAGTATTCATGACACCTGCACTCCGGCGTTAATTTAAGCCTAAAAACCTCGAAAACCGAAGTTAACTCATGAATCCCACTCTGAAGTCAAACTCTTTAAAAATTCAGTCAGTTTCTTGATGGACATACATTTAGCTTCATCTTTTTAGTCTAGTGATTTTTCAACAATAAGTACAGTTAACTCAGCACGTGTTTCCATTGCAAAGTCAAATTTATGATTTTTTTAAATAAAACTTAATTGAAACCAATCGACTGGTTGATGATACGATGGTACATTTTTGCTCTGCAACATTTCCATTGCTTTGCTGTACCTTGCTGAAAAATTAAAGTCTTCTAGCATCTCTAGCTTCAGAATTCCGCCAATTTTCAAAAAAAGTCTTTCATTTTGCTTTAATTTCCAAGTCAAATTTTAGAATAAAAAAAAAATTAATCTACCGGTTGATGAGCCTGAAAATGTTTCCATGATTCTATTTTGCTGTAAAATTGAAATCTTCAAACGATTTTGATTTCAATTGATTAGCTTCAAATTTTGTTCGTAGATCTGCATTGTTTGGCTCTATATTGCCGTAAAATGTCTTGTAGCGTCTCCAGTTTGGGAATTTGGATTTTTCAAAGATAATTACAGTTAGCTCGGTGCTTTAAATGCAAGTCCAATTTAGATTTTTTTTAAATCAATCGGCCAGTTGCCGGAAACTTTGAATCTCTAGCTCTTTTAGTTTCGGAATTGGAATTTTTCAAAACCAGTTGCAATTATTCAGTGCTTTCTTGACAAAATTTAATAGTTTTTTTTATACATTAGCCGCTCAGTTAATTAGGTCAAAATTTTGATCAAACATTTATATTGCTTTCTTCTACAATTTACTAAAATTCCACTTATTTGTAAATTGGGACTTTTCAAAAATATTGGCCAAACAGTCACATTCCATTGCTCAACATTTTTGACAATTTTTTATTTTCTACCTTTTCTGTTTGAAAATTGAGATTTATCAAAAAATGTTTGCAGCCAGTTCAGTGTTCTTTAAAGAAATTAAATTTAAAAATGTTTTACAACTCAACGGGAGAGTTGATGAGCGAACAATTTTGGACAAAGATCCATATTACTTTGGTCTATCTTGCTGTAAAAATTCAATTTTCTAGCAGCTCCAGTTTGGCAAATGAAATTTCTCAAAGTTACATTCAGTTAAATCAAACCTTGTTAACTTAGATTAAGGACACATTGAAGAATTTTCAAAAATTAACTGTTTGCTTGTTGAGCTTGCAACTTTCACCATACATGTTTACTATTTTACTTTATATTGGCAGGAAATTTTAATCTTCTAGCTCGTCTAGATTAAGAACTGGGAACCTTTTAAAGAAAATTGCAGTTAACTCAGTGCTTTCGTTGTTTTTTCAAAGTCAAATTTAAAAATACAAAAAATAATCCCGCAGGTTGATGAGCTTCAAAATTCGTCATTGATTTACATCGGCTTCCTCTATATTGCTGTAAAATTTTAATCTTCTACCATCTCTAGTTTGAGATTTGAGGCCGAGCGAAAAAATCCGACCTTTTTTGGTGCTCTCGACAAAAAACGTTTAGATAGAACAGATAGACAGAAGTCCCAAAATTAGTAATTATTTTGAATTCAGCACACAAGATCTGTTATATTTAACAGTTGTCGATAGACTTTAAAAATAAATGTTTCAGCCTAAATTGCATTTCCAACAGGGAATTTTAACCTGATTTTCCGTTCAAAATGAACATCTATGGATCATCGCGGTCGATTTTGCCGTGGTAGCTCCACTGAGAATGCTCGGAACAGATACAAGTGAAACGTCAGACAAAAATATCAATCTACCGTGTTCTTCAAGACAGGAAACATGTAATTTATCTCAGGAAGGCCTAAAGTGAAATTGGGTGTAATAAGCTCAACCTAACACTCGATTAAACTGCGTTGAGGGTTATTCACATTCACTGTTATCACCCAGTGAAAAGCGCGATTACATTAAGACGCATTTTGAGTTAACTTTATTCAATTATAATTTTATGCAAACAAATTCGCATTCGAACTGCTTTGGATTTGGATGGAAAACGTTCTGGGCATCAAACTGCGTTTGTTTAAAGGGTATGTATTTGACAATAACAACTGGTTTTATGAAAAAATGCGCTGTTTGCGCAACATTTAACATGTTCTGATTTTTTAAATATAATTGTCGGGCCCCAGGCTGATAATCTGAAAAAAACTTGTTAAGTGAAAGCGGCCTGAGTCGATGTGAAGTTCCTGTGCTCGAGCCAAATAATGTCAGCAGCAAGAAGTTTCATATTTTTATTTGCCAATGTGAAAACTTTAAGGGACAGACAATATAACTTAGTCAACAAACTGTTATTTGGCGTTTGAGTGCTCCAAAATTGATCTTCGGACGCTTTTCCGAACTTTGCCAGTCAGTTTGGCGTGATTCACTTTGCAAACTAAACGTGTAAATAATAAAGTTGAGGGGCCTCTTAAATGGAGAAGCCTTTTTATTACGTGCTTATATTTCGACTTTGTTTTTAACTGTTCTACGGTCTCCCGCATTGAATTTACCGTTTGGGAAACTGAAATTTACTTACATTATGCCTCCAACTAACTTTGTACACCCATGGATTCGACTTGATGTTGCATTCGAAGTAAACGTCGACACCTTCTTTGATGGTACTTCCGTTCAGGGTACTGCCCAGCTCCAACGTCACCAATGGTTTATCTGCAATATTCAAGAGCACTTAGCATCGATAAACGGAAAACGATATGTATATTCAGTAAATTCGGGTTCTACACCGCATAATCCGGGGTAATCTTATAAAGTTACTCGTACATTGTGGTCAGAATTTCCAGGCCCTAACATGGATCCTATTATGCAAAACGTATTTAGGGCTTAGCCGGCCGCCTGAATTAAGGGTGCTTGTTATGGACATTTGCCCTTCCGCCCGAATAGTGGCGAAATAAAATCGTTACGTGTATTAAAGCACACTGTACAGTAAAGTGCAACTATAAAGCAATATATTAATATATAAATGCAATGTATTGTTTACATGGAAGTATTTTCTATACACAGACTCTTAAAACTAGTAGCCGAATTTAATGGGGAATGAAGAAAAAGTGCGTTGTGGATAGTTCTGTCCTCACATTAGGAAGTTTCGAATGAAATTATACTCAACTGTAATTTCTCAGCAGTTTATTTAAAAAAGGGTGAACTGCAGTTTGGTATACATTCTGCACAGTGGCAAATTTCTAAAAAAAATTAAGAAAACTTTGCAGTTAACAGCTAATCGCAGCATTTGACGTTAATCTTTTTCACCTCTGCGTCCATATCCAGAGAGCGACTTTTATTTAAAAGATTTCAGCCCTAAAAGGGCCGTGACCGCATTCAATTCAAAAATTTTCCTGAAAAGGGTGAAACATAATGGGTTTTTAACGGGACCCTTTTTTATTTAAAGCGTTTAACTCAGCAGTACCACCCGGCGCGTTACTTGGAACATTAGAGGACAGCAGATTAGCTTTAGGGGTAGAGGGATTAAATTTCTAAACCGGATTAGATTTGCCGTTGGTTTTTCAATTATTGCTCTCTCGAATATTAGCATAATTTTCAACAAATTTTTCCATAACTTTTAGCCTAAATGGGGTTCGGTGTAAAAATCGATTTTCAATTTTCATAATTTGATTCGGAAATGGGTTTCACCAGATTAGCTTTTTGATATAAAAATGGTAGTTTTACGCATATTTCTAATTTTGTAAAAAATCTTAATTCGAAAAAAGTGACCCTCCCAATATTATGAATCAATGTTTGATGACCTCAAATTTACCAGAAAACTTCCTTTCATTTTCACTGGTTTTGAGAAAAATATAAATTCGCCAAAAATTCGAACCCAAAGCATCCACTGATACCATCAATTTATAAATACTTTCACGATTAAATGTTTTTTATTGACTTGAATTCCGGAAATTTTGAAAAAGTTGACCGGAACGTGTTGCTGTTTAGTAGGCCGAAGAATTCCGCACAACTTTAACAAAACACTGTAGCAAAAGTGTTGCAAAATTGAGATAAGTCTTCTAAACTGTATTCAAAGGTGTAGATCGCAAACACATATTTTTTCTGCAGAGGTTTATTAAAAAAGCTTTTTAAATTAAAAGCTTGATTGTGCCTAGATAATGGCTTAAAACTGGAACAAGAAGCGGAAGCCACTGTAAAAGAGAGGAAACGTCGTTATGAACAGAAAGCCCTCCACTTTAATTGGCTGATCATATTGTGCAGGTCCTGTGCAATATGGCTCAAAAACGCTGCGAGCTAAACTGATCTAAAATTCTCGTTATCAGACCATTCGCATAGCTAACCCGAACCGTTTTCCATAACCATCTAAGTGAGATACCATTATCCAGTCACGGCAATATCATGCATCGTGCATGAGCTTTCCAAACAAATTCCTAGATCCAACTTTATTAGATTAGTTGGAAAAGGTCCTCTTTGACTAAACGAACATTTCATACAGTAACTTTTGATAACTTTTACACGGGCCGTAAACACGTTAAGTGCTTTTTCCTTTGTGTGTGTAGTCCCGGGAACCAAAAAGTTCCAAGTTTACGGGTCGGATATGTGCGCATCATCCTTTGTGCAAATGGAAATTAAAATGTGACTAGTTAGGGCCAGTTAGAGCATCTTAACGGACCACTTAGAAATTTAAAGCGCATATTATCCAGGTTTTAGTGCCCTCTCAGGTCAAAGTTTTGCCAATATTTTCCACGATTTAATAACCGTCCTGCTTTGACTATTTTTCAAATAGCACATGCAAAGTGAGCATCATTAAAGAGTTTGGCTTATTAATTTTTCCTCTTTAAGACTGGTAAATATGTAAAAATGTAACTTTCAAGACACATTTTGAAAATTCGTATTATAGAGAACGTGCATTTTGCCCACGTTTTTAAGGAATTGAACTGACTTCGGGTCTGAATGTATTTTGTTTCAAAGTGAACATTTACGAACGCGAACTTTTAACAAAATAGTATTGAGCATATGCCAAATTTGTCTACTCTGATACAACAGTCCTTCAGACTCAATTTTAATTCAAAAAAAGGTTATCAATTTTGTGCAAAACTTGCAAATTCTTTAAAACTAACTAACATTTGGAACAAAAATTCCAACTGTAAAAAAAGGAGTTTTTCAATATCTTTAAACTAATTTCGTGTGAACTTTGAGACTAATCGGATAATTTCTCAACTGCAACTGGTCCACAAACAAATGTTCCCCATCCTCTGCATAAATTCTATAAGGTTGTTTTCCATGTTTCGGCAAATGAAATTTGTAACTGCTCTCCTGCATTAATTTTAGCGTAATATGAGCCCTAGCAGGGATGTACTCATGCCCTTTAGTACTAGTAAATTACCCCGTATCTCTGCTGGACCCTATAACTTACTCTGGACTGCATCTGAGTCGTTAATTATTACACTTCAAGAACATATCGCGGCAACACCATCCTCCGATTTGCATTGTACAAGTATTACGGTGTCGGGGTAGGAATTGTGAATAGACGAAATCACGTTTATGCAAAATAGGTTAATATTGTTTGAATAGAAATTGTTACAATCTCTAGCGAGGCACTATTTGAAACGGGTCAGCTTTCTTGTTTCCTCGAATGGAAGGTTTTAGTTAAAAACTTTTCCAGTTCGGTCTCTTAATGGGTGTTTTTATTCAACTGTGCTCACTTTTTAAAAAAAAATTTCTAAACCAAAGCAAGAAGCGTCGTAGAAATTATGCTACCTTTAGAAAGCACATCAACCTATAAAAGTTCATATCAATCTCTTGAAATCCAAATTGTTGCCAGCTTCATTATTTGGAAATGGAATGGAACTTTTTACTCAATTGCGCTCTCATTTAAAAAAATTCGCACCTTCCAAATTAAAGCAAGCAGCAATTTGAAATTTGCACAATGTTTAGAAAACACTTGACTGCAAAGACGTTGAAAGCTTCACATAAAACACCCGATCCTTGATTTTCATAGCCTAGTAAATGTCGATCTTATATTGAAAGTTTTTAATCAAATGCACTCTCTCCTTTAAAAATGCGCATCTTTCAAATTAACGCAAGTATCCAGTTGAAATTTTCACAGCCTCTAGAAGACAAATGGCTCTAAAGATGCTAAAAGCTTCGCATAAATTTCTTCATTTGCTGACTTTTTCGAGCTTAGTAAATATTGGGCTCATAAAAGAAGTTTTGATTTGCCTGCGCTATTTTTTAGAAATAGTTGCATCTTCCAAATTAAAGCAGGCATTAGTTTGCAAGTTTCGTCATCTTTAGAAGACACGTGACTAAAGAATTTCGAAGTTTCATATAAATCTCCTAAAATTTTGATATCACTTCCACTCAATTACGCTCACGCCTCTCAAAATTCGCTTCTTCCAAATTAAGGCAAACATCTATTTGAAATATTCAGTACCTTTGACTTTTTGAGTGACTGTAAAGATGCTTAAACTTTCATATAAGTCTCCTGAAATCCTAGCTCTATCTGGCTTAGTAAATATCGGTCTCAGAAAGCAAGTTTTTACTCAATTGCCCTTTCTAATTTAAAAATTTCCATCTTCTAAACTAAAGCAAGTAGCAACTTTAGATTTTTATTATATTTAGAAAACCCGTGATTCTAAAGATCTCCTAAAAATACTGATTTTTCAGAGCTTCTTAAATATTATTCAACTGCGCCTTTTTCCTTTAAAAATTCACATCTTCCAAAGTAAAGCTTGCAGCAATTTGACATTTCTTTATCTTTAGAGGACACTTCACTGTACAGACGTCGCCAGTTTTATATAAATCTCTCAAAATTACGATTTTTTCTCGCTTAGTAAATATCGATATTACAATGGAATTTTTTTCCCAACTGCGCGTTCTCCTTTCAATATTTTTTCATCTTCCAAACAACAAGCAAGAGGCGATTTGAAATTTGCTCCACGTTTAGACGACACTTGCCTATAAAGATACTGAAAGTTTCAGATGTATATCCCCATTCATTCAAATTAGCTTGATAAATATTGCCCTTACACTGGAAGCTTTTACCCAATTGCTCTCCTCCTATAAACATTCGCGCCTTCCAAACTAAACCAAGAAGCAATTTCAAAACTTCACCATTTTTAGACAACCTTCCACTCTAAACATGCAGAAAGTTTCGTATGAATCGTCTTAAATGCTGTTTTTTGATAGGTTAATAAATATCGGTCATTTATTGTAAGTTTTTTGTCAACTGGGTTCTCACTTTCAAAAATATGGCAACCACCCAGCTGAAAATTTCAAAGCTTTTAGAAGACACCTCAGTCTAAGGATGCTGGAAGTTACATGAAAATAATCTAATACACTTTAAAACCTTCTGGAAAAATGCTTTTCGTTTATCGGAACTGTTGACGACAATTGAGGAATTTCCTTATACCAAAAAAATGTTATTTTGCCTTTCTCATGACTCTAATAAACTATTTCAACTCGAATGATTCCATTCCTGTGAATTTTTCCCATTTTTGTTTACGACAAGCTGTAAAAAGTCCATAATGCCTTTATTCATAAACGTCGCGACACATAACCCTCTCCCCAAAAAGGATTTTCGCAGTTTTTCTCATTCGTTACATTTGTCCCATTTTGTTTATGCAAATGCCATCGCGTCGTTATTGGTTTAGGAACATTAACGTCGACTCTCGAATTTGAATGAAAACGGAAAATGAATTCCAAATGTTGGTTTTCCGAATAAGTATTCTATTATTCATTAATCATCATTAACTTTTTGTAACTTTACTTGTTAGTTGTTCAGTAATTGAAACTGGTAGTCTAGGATTACGAAAAAAAAAAACAGCATTGAGGATGCATGGCATTTGTGGTTGCAAAACGTTAGGAATACATGCATGTGTATGTATGTACCAAACTCAATACCATGGAGAAAAACACCAAATTCTAATGCCCGTTATTGCTGCCTTGTTACTAAGACGAAGAGTATCTTTCATTAGTAAACTTCGATGATTTCCTGATCAGATTCCCTGTGACTTTGTGCTAATGTTTCCTTATTCGGTTCTTTAGGTAGAGCTATTCCTGATGTCGACGCAAAAATTGGCGCCACTGACTTGTCCAAAAGTGAAATTATCCACAAAATCCAAATCGACAATTCTACTAACGGTTTTCGCCTGAACGATCCAACAATTTATCGGTCGTTTCAACATTCGAAGCCGTCGTTACTTTTTTCCGGCTTTGTTCCTAATTGATTTTTCAAACGATTTTTGTTTACTCGACTTTCTGTAAATTAGAGCCGACGGCTTTCCTTAATTACCTCGATTCCTTTTTCCAAAGGAATTAATTGAACTCGAATTGATCCAAACGGAGTTGCCGTTTGTTCTCTATCGGGGAGTGTCAATTCAGAATTGCGATAAAAACCCACGAAAACAAGGGGTTTGTTCGTCAACTGGTGGATGTTTTTAAACTAATTGTTTGGGGAAACTTACGGTAAATATTCAGCTTCCAACCGTTTTCAATTCCACTGTCTTGGATAATCGGATGTTGTCCATGGCAAGACATGTATTTGCCATCATCGTCCACGGTTGGAGTGAAAGTTAGAATACTGGTGGTTGTATTTCCATCTGGACTGGTCTGGAACAAAAAATAAAATATCAAGTTCCTCAATATTCTTCTAGAATTCGCACCTGCAAACGTTTATATGCTCAATGGATTTAAATCAGATCATTCCCCTTCCTAGTTAATTTACCTAACAGCTAAATATCTCATCTGTCTATTTGGGCAATAAAACTTTAGGGGTTTCCCTATCATGTCCTCAAGTTATTCCATAACTCACTTGGTGGTCGTCCATCCACTAATCATTAACTTAATGCCCTTCCTATTCACTCTGGTCCTTCCATTATCGAATATAAAGCATGGAACTTCCCAGACTCTATCATCAAAGAAAAGTTTTATTAACACGTAATAAAAGGTTCTATTGATAAGAGTGGAATATTGCATCCATACATCACGGTAAATTGCAATAGTCTGCAGCAGCAGGATGGCGTTTCTCCAAGATTTATGTATGCGGTCATTCTGCGTACACTTCTATCGAATTTCGTTCAGAAACCGGGATATAAACAGGCCCATTATTCTGCTTTTAAAAGGTTGGGCTCTATTGAACTCCAGGACATCAAATAAACAAATTCAATTGACATTGCGTCTCAAGTAGAAAAAAAAAGGTTTTAATAAAACAGCAATACATCTGGCTAGTAATGTGCAATAATGAACTTGCAACATTGTGAAGACATTGGCGCGGTTTATGGCTGATTTTTATGGGCGCTAAACTAAATTACCCACATATTAAAGCCTCGTTTGAGATTTACTACAACCTTATTATCTGGCGACAAAAGCAGCTCTAGCGAATTAACCAGGAATTTTCTGGTAACTTAAGGATTATTTTAGTGAGTAGAAAATATTGATGCTTAACTTACTTAAATCTTATTTTTCGCCTTCAGAACTGTTTCAAAATTTCCTTGCAGATGGGCGAACATTTTCAAATAAGTAACTATTCATTTAAATTAAGATGCCGCAAAATGTAAAATCTTAGAGCAATTTCTCCAGTACCCATTTAAACGTCCATTCTATAAATCTTCGCTAGAATAAAATGCCTTCTCTATATTATGCAATATCAAGGGATTTCCTGCACAATGTACCTCTTCATACTCGCTCAAAAAATATGGCGTAGTTAACAACCTGCTGTCAGATGAAAAATGTCTTTGGTTGTATCAGGGAATTAACTAGGTCACGTACAACGAGTATATTTCAACATTTCATATATTTTCGCAAAAACTCGGCTCTCATTTCCTACCAAATACTCTATGCATACAAGTATTAAGAGGAGAGGCGGTTGTTCTTTTGCTAAACATTAAGCTTCTCCTGTTTGGAAATTACCATTGTTATGATTTATGGAAGTAGGCACCCAGTCGGAAAATATTTATTTTGGCCTTCAATTGCAAATTTTAAGCGAAATTTGCTCTATGGTTTGGTGTAATAAATAAAAAAATATTGTTCAGTTTACTGTTCAGAATATTTCCAGCTTTTGCAACTAAATCGCAACTTTAATCGCAAAAGTAACAAGGTAAGCTTAAGGAATGCTCCATTTTCTCAAACTCTTCGAATCAAATTAATTTATATATTAAATCATCCCCTTTATTGTGGGCTTCATCTTTACTGCTTTTGGTATTCGGTTAACATATAACATTATTTTATTTTTGTTTTTTCTTCAGTTCATGTCGATGGAAGTTTGAATTGATCATTTTGCGAAAAACATTAATTTTGGCACAAAGCGAAATACAGACCTTAGGCAGAAAACCTTATAAACCAGTAAGTAAATCCTCCTTCGGACTCCTGTTTAAACGTTGAAAATTGTAGAGTTTATATAGTGGACACTGGACTCCCTCATTCTAAACTCATTACCATTAATTACAGTTTTTATATATTCCATTTTCTGCCTGCGTGGTTGATAATATTTCTCTTGCAAAACACGTCCATAATGAGCTTTTCCAGAAAAGAAGGGGGCATTTTATTGTAGTTCTAAAACAGCTAAAAACCATTTGTTGACCAAAATTACAACTTATTTATTTACATTATATAATTCGTTACATTCCTTTTATAAAACTTTTTATTTATTTGGATTCAACAGTCACTTTTGAAACAAAGTCTATACTTAACATTGATTAATTTTTGTAAACATTTTAGTAAATTATCTGCGCATGTTTTGTCCAGTTTCTTCTCATCGATTAAAACATTGAAAATAGAGGGAGTTTCACAGCAGGCGGTAGAAGTTGCAAATACAAGAATCTAAAATTATAACCAAAACTCTAGTTAATTGCGATTAATTTTAGACATAAAACCGGAACCGGATTCTTCGAACACTCCGTATTTTCTTGCTTGTTGTCTCTTGGATTATTACATTTTAATTTACAAACATTTACTAAACTTCCTTGGGTAAAACATAAAAATATGAGAAAATAACCTTTACGTGTATTAACAATAAAATGACAATCATATATGCTTAAATTATGAAATTTAATTTTATTTATTGGTACTATATTCTGTCGGATTGAAATGTTGAAGATAGTGAAAATTGGAGAAATTGGAAATCAAGGAAGTGGTAGAATTCATTAATAGTAAAACATACAATTATAACTAAAAATTATAAAAAAATAATTTTGGACAAAACAAGGAGATCGGTTTTTTTAAACCCTCGGTATTTTTTTCTCGCTATTTTATGAATAATAAAATGTCTCATTAGGAAAATGATGACTAAATTTTCCTCTGTTCGGCAGATGAAAATGTGGAAATAAATGAGAAAGAAATGTACATTAATAATAAAACGCCAATCATACATGCTTAAATTATGAAATATTATTGATATTTACAATTAATTTTGACAAAAATATTATTTTCCAGCATTACAATAATTGCCAATAATCCACAGTTAAAATATATTGACATTTAGCTTCCCTATTGGTATTATATTTTAAATTAGAAATTAAATTTTTCAAATCCATGTAAACGTTAAAAACGTAATAAGAGACCATCAACCCAATTCAGAATTAAGCATGTTCATAATCGTTACGGTCTTGTATATTTGCAATAGTTTGCTAAAATACATCCAGTGGATCTCAAAAAATAGATACAAACTCGCGCATTTTAATTGGTAAACTGAAGCTATTTTTCGCACTAATCAGCTAAAATGTTTAACAATTTTCAGTAATCGCAAAAACTTGTTTATATCATGTGTATCCTCATTCTCATCTGTGCCTACTGAAGTGCACCGTTACTTTTGTCAAACAGGAAATATCCACAAAAATCCATTACCGTTTGCTGAACCGTATCCTTGTGTTTAGTAACTCAATTTCAATACAAATGAAATAAATCGGCAAAAGTAAGTCGGAAAATGTGGTTTTGGATCACATAATATTGGGCTATTATGTATCACGTATGTCCTCAGCGCCGGATACTTTCTTGTTTTGTCCTTTTCCTCCAAATCAATTTCGGTTCACATTGGATTTTTTCCACTTCGATCAAGCATGGAACAATTGAAAGATAAACTCGGTGGTTTGTTGTGCTTTGAAAATTCAATGCTACCTTTAATGGAAAAATAAATCGCTTTTGAATTCCAATGGAATATTTTTGGCCTCGTTAATAATTTAGGTAGCAGCTTGAAACCTTGACAATGTGATGAAACTGTATACCTCAAAAAGCCAACAAGTTTGAATAACTCGACTGATTCCTGCCCATTCTTTGTTCATAGATGTTGCGCTTTTTTCATGGAGTTTCCATTATTCGCCAATGGATATATGATAGTTCGGTCTCTATTTGCAATATTCGTTATTTGAAGTCGATACTGGCATAGATTATCAGTTTTCCATTAGTGGCTGTGAATTTCAAGTGTAATTTCCAAGTTCCTGCTGCTGATCTACATGGGGACCGAACAGTTCGGGTTTTGTCGTGTCTAAACAAACAATTTTAGCAAAAAAAATCAAATGTGCATTTTATAACTAACTTTACGTGAAAAATCTTGGATGAGTGAAAATGCGAGAATTACTGAGCAATTAACTTGATAATCATTCGATCATCAATAAACATTTTTTGCTGAAAACTTGACCGTCCGTTATCGGCGATTCTTCATGGGACATAAATGAACGACGACGACTCCCTTGTCAAATTATCGATACTAAGGCATAAAGAGAACGATAAACCGAGCCATAAAATCGGTAACAGTTTCGCTAATAAATAAAAATATGGAGGGTTTATGCCCAAGTTGCACATATTTTGGTATTTTAGAGCCCACCAGCAGTGCCTTATTTTTATAAGCTTATAATAAATTTTACGGCGATTTTAGAAAGCTGGTTATACGATCGGAAGTTTTTACATCAGCAGCATCAATTCGCGATCCGCCTCGACCAGTATCATTGCAGGTGATTTGAAATTCTTCAAGGCGAATCCGGCGATACTATTAAATCTGGCTGGCACCATAACTTTACCTCAAATAAGCAAAAATTTACGATCATTTTCGGGAATTTATTTACCACAAATTTATTGCGTAAAGTTCCTCGAATTTATGTTCATGCAATGCCTGAATGACATCTGATTTACTATGGCAAGGATTTTTACAAATTCAGAAAGGTGAGATTTACGAATGGTTTTTTAGGGATAATTTATCATCTATTCTAGAGATTTTGTTCAATTGCCGTATTATTCGTCAAAAACTGTGTTAATCACTACAAAATGATCATAAGCAGGTGTGAGAAACACACTGAAAAATTTGCTATAGAAACATGTGGCATAAAAGTATAAAAATTAAATAATTGAACTGTTCGGAAGAAATAAGAAGAAACCAAACAATCAGGCAGACTATCGGCATAGAAAAGGATATTATATGTAGATGAGGTCGAAATGAAACAGTCTGGACACACACAGAGAAGGCGCCAGCATAGATGGCCAAGAATGGAAGCCGCGGCAAAAAATAAAAGAAGGGAAGTTCAAGAAGAAGCTGGAGGAATGACGTGGATGATGCATTGAAATCAAGGAACTAAACAAGGAATGAGTTACGAAAGAAAAGCCAGGCACTGGAGACGGAGAGA